AGTGCCAATTTTAGCGGATAGAGGTGTCGCGTGGCCAGCGCAACGAATCCCCACGGCAGTTAATGTCGGTTTTCTGATGCAATTTATACTTTGTGGTGTCGGAGTGTAACTCCCTGGTCCTACGTTCCAGCATGAATTATATGACACAATACCAATTTAAGGCCGCGATCGTAGTGGCCGCGCGGTCCAAAGCATGAACCATCTTCGCCCGCTCGAACACTTGAACCGTGGGTTAGAATCCAACTTAAGGCATGGATGTCTTTGTACGTTTATTGTGTTTGTGTTAGGTAGCGGCCTTGCGACTGGCTGACCCCCCGTTCAAGGAGTCGTATCGACTGTCTAACATTAAGACACTGAAATGAAACGAGCGTTTCGCGGATGTCCTATGCTCCAAGCGGGAGCAACAAGAATAGAAGAAGAAGAAGATATCAATTGAAGATGTTAAGGCACGTGACGTCAAATAGAAAGTGCAAGAACGATGATAAATGACGAGTACAGAAGGCGGTGGTGTCACGGCGGGCTTCTGCTGGGAACATACATGAAAGGTCTCCTTCCATACAGTCCCGCGTTCCATTGGTTGCCATCCACGGTATAAAGCAAAGCAAGATGATCGTTTGTAAGATCAATTATGATAATAAAAGAGAAAGAAAATCATTCGCATGATCATGATGACAGACTCATTTATGTTTAACAACTGATCTTTCAGTGGTGAACAAAATAAAGCGATACTTGGGACAACTCACTGAAAACGCAGCTAATAAGTTAAAACTATATTTTGTAGGAACATAATCTGTGACTGGAACGTCTGCGCAAGAACGTGCATGGAAAAGACGCCGGAGTACACTATTTGTTTGTGTCGTACGTGGGAGTAGAGTCGCGTAAAGTAACATGCTAGACTACACATCGTAATTGTTTTAAGGCTTCATAAAGCTTATGTCAGTGACGTGTAGCCGTTATTTCATACACGTTAGCATAAGAACGCTTCACGATAACAGGACAGAGGACAGAGGTGAGAGAGAGAAGTCCATAAATCAGATTGGCCTAGGGTAATTAGTTTCCAGTTCGAGAAAGGAATATATAGGGTGTCCGGATGAAAGCTATCCAAAACAAAAAATTTATATCTCGGAAACTAATTGTCATACACGTATCCGGTTTATGTCAATGGAAAGGAAAACTCTTAAACTTTTTTCATGCCCGACTTACGCGCATGCGCCGCCACATTTCTGCCACCATGTTAGGAATCACCTGGACAGAGAGATGGTTGGGATATGAATTGGCAGTGGTGGACCAATCGCTTGGCCTCTTAACTCGCCAGATTTAACCCCAGTGGGTTTCCTTTTGTGGGGTTATGTGAAGAACATTGTCTATCAGGTTCGGATCAACGAGCTTCAACGCCTTAAAGCCCGCATAAGGGACGCTGTGGCTACGGTAACACCAAACATACTGGATCGTCTGGATATTTGTCGTGCCACCAAGGGAGCCCACATTTAAATTTATTGAGAAAGTTATATACTCAGAAAAAACTCTAGTAGTTTCCCTCTGTAATGATGTAACCAATAAATGTATATAATGAATTCTTTCTGAGATATAATGATTTTATTTTGGATACCTTTCATCCGGACACCCTGTAATAGTACAGGGACTGTGCGACAAGTAGGTTAGGTTGAGTGATGGATGTCAGCATCCTGTCAATGGAGACGGTTTGACAAATCGATTGCAAAGCTACCACAAGTAGCCTCTGGCATACAATGCGACAGATACGGTTACAAACTCTCTTTTTCGTTCTTAATAATAGGAATAATTAACTTCTTACGCTCTCGTATAAAAGGAATATTGCGAAAATATTCTATACGAATAGAGAAGTACAAAAAATCAAATGAAAAAGAGATTTCTAGTAGGAGTCTGCCACGAAGGAGAGAGCACAGCATTGCAAACAGCGCGCTACGAGGTTGGCCGTGCGTTCGCTTTACTGAGCCGTTAGGAACAGAACACAAGCACCGCAACACGGCTCCCGCCAGTGCTTTAGTGCGTCCTGCACAACGCGGTCAAAAGTTATCATCACGCATGCGCATTACCTTTCACTGCGCTGAACATTCCATGTCTCGCTCATCCAATGATCCCTAATTACAGTCAGCCACACACAAAAAAAAAGTTCCTATACACGGAGTGCCGGGGTAGCGGCCGGATTTCGAGACCCGGCATTTTTTCCTCTCCACGTTGTAGAGATCGGTTCTGGGCCCCACCCTAGACTTCTATCAAATCGGTACAGGGTGTAAAGCGGCCAGGGTATAACCACTCACCTCTATCCAGTGTCGAAGTCACGAATGGTGGATGTACACATCCACTCCTCCATACGTCTTCATGGCGTAGCCCTTAATTATTTAAGCACAGGGACAACTTAACCTTTTATATGAGCAGAAATACACGTATGAGGAAGACGTGACGACGTTTCCCGCCATCTGACATTCACCCTCTTTCATCTCGCACGCAGATAAAATTCAGTACATTCTGTGTTTCTTATTCCCTGCTCATTGGTAGTCCAAATGAACCGCTAGGACTCCTGCAAAGGAACAGCTCTGTTATCTGTTTCCTGACAGAACGATTGGACTTCGAAACATATAGCACAATATGAACCACGCGACTAAAGAGTTGTCTTTTACAAAAAAACATCGGTGCTTGTTGGAATGTCCTGACTGTGTCCCCCGCAATGCTATAAGCAGTAGTTACGGAACGGAACCTAAGATGGAAATGAGACAGTTACCTATGCTTCAGTAGACACTGCAGTCTCTATCTTTCGTTATCAAATAAATAAATAGAAAATATAAAAACTTAAATATTTACAGCGTATACATTCAGTGAAGGGGCACGCGATAGCGCAGTTTGTTGACTCACTATGCTACAAGCCGGGAGGTCACGATTTCGAATCCCGATGAGGTCAATGGATTTTTCAATTAACCTAATTCTTCCAGTCGCACTATGGCCCCGAGGTCGACTCAGCCTCTAACAGAAATAAGTACCAGGAAACTTCCTGGAGGTAAAGAATGGCCGGTGCGTAAGGCTGACAACCTCACCGCCATTTGTGAGCCGATTGTCTAGTCTCGAAGTCTCACAACCCTATGGACCTCCACGGCTTGTAACAGGCAGAGCTTGGCGCGTAAGGCTGACGAGCTCACCGCCATTTGTGAGCCGACTGTATAGCCTTGACGTCTCACAACGCTATGGGACTCCACGGTCTGTTATAGGGACATTCTACACATTCAGTGAAATAGTGATTTAATGCAGAAAAGGCTATAACAATTGAGGGTCTATCTGTGGGCACAGTTGCTAGAGATGGTTCAGCCCGAACTTTTATTGGGTTTGAGACTATCTCTGCGCATTAAAGCAAGGGAAGACTGTAGATCATGCGCTTAGGTGGAGATATCGGACCCAGCCCCACTTCTGGCGGTTAGTCGACGGCTTCCAACAGCCGCGACCCGGGTTCGATCCAAGGTCAGGTCATGTTGGATTTACGGTGGACAGTGTTCACTTGGGCAGAGTTTCTTCGAACACTTCGGTTTCCCCTGCCAATTCTTATTCCATCAAATGCTTCATTTCTATCATCCACCCTCCGGGTATGGTACAATGCATCACTTAGGGAGTAGGTATCAAGGGGCTGGACTCACGTCACCCCAGGAATAAAAAAATGGTCGGTCAATTCGAAACAATAACTATTACTAGAAGTTACAAAATGTCTGTGTTTATTTTGTATGTAACGGCCAAACTGCCAGCCCTTACGGTAGGTCAAGTTGTGACTTGTATCTTTATTGTTTAGAATCTTCTGCCGAAAACATTTCCTCTCGAGAGAAGTGCATACTTTTATTCCATCACGATTTGCACCTCAGTATACGATGGGGTACCCAAAAGAAACCGAACTAATTTTTTTGTGGGCAGAGCTTTTGTAGTACCGCGTTTTGCCGCTATGAGCGCATAGACCTAACATTCCTGAGTCGATAAGCCCACTACCGTTGCTTCATAAGGTAAGGACTAGATTCGGCAGAGTTTATAGTGACAACTGTTTTGTGTGATCGTCATTTTTGCAATAGCTGATTTTCGTGAACAGCGTGAGGCGGTAAAATTATGCTTTTTGTTCGGGAAAAGTGGAACAGAAACTCTTGAAATGTTAAAAACGGCGTACAAGGACGATGCTATGGGGAAAACTCAAGTGTCTGAGTGGTTTTCCCGTTTCAAAAATGGTGAAATGTCAACTGATGACAAACCTCGTTCTGGTCGTCCTTCCACGGCCCGAACACATGAAAATGTTGAAAAAATTCGTGAAATCATCAAGGAAAATCGACGATGGACCATTGAAGAAATTGTGGAGCTGTCGGGAGTGACTTGGAGCAGTCGGGTGACTGGTTTTTCCATCATGACAATGCCCCTGCTCACACAGCCCTGTATGTACGACAATTCTTGACCAAAAATGGTATGACCCCTGTTCCTCACCCTTCATACTCACCCGACCTTGCCCCGTGCGACTTCTTTTTTGTTTCCTCGAATGAAAAGAGACATGAAAGGAAAAAACGATGGAGGCGCTGTCAAGCATCTCAAAAGATGAATTTAGACAATGTTTTGAAAAATGGAATAAAAGACTAGACAAGTGTATTGGTGTAAGTAGAGAGTACTTTGAAGGGAATTGAAGGTTTGTGCTTAAAATTTGAATAAATAAGTTTAAGAAAAAATAAGTTCGGTTTTTTGGGTACCCCCTCGTAAATAAAGCTGTTTGCCACAAAACTTTCAAGTTACCGGGATTATTTTTCTTTACTCGGATAAATTTATTTTAATAAAGTTGGGTTGAAATTTCAACGGCCATTATTCTAGTTTCAAGATAATGTACATGTTCAACAATGTTACTTACGGAGAGTCAGTAAATACGTCACAAATGGAAGTAAAGCAGCCGAAATGGGCGTAATAAGTTCTCTATGTGTATCACTAGGTAGCAGCACAGTTCAGCTTAATGATAGTCAAGGTAGCAGAGGTGCCGAGGAGCAGCGTTCTGCCGTGCGTTCACTGTGGGCAAAATGAGTCATTGGCAAAGGATATTCATAAAGAAATGTTTCCTGTTTACGGTGGGAAGTGTTTGTCGCGTAAAGCGGTTCACAAGCGGGTGGCAAACGTTTCGCTGATGACGAAGAGGTTGAGACAATAGTCAAAAGATTTCTTATGCTGCGGATTTCGAAGCACTGGTAAAGCGATGGGACAACTGCATCAATGTTGATGGTGGAAATGTCGAGAACTTTTCCTCAGCTCCGAATATCACATGTTTTACATTTTATATCCATTTGTGGCCCATTTACTGACTCTCCCTCGTTTATACATATTGGAACATTCAGTTATAAATCCATAACCGAGAATCCAGGGCCTCCTCAGCAGCCAAGGCTTCAGCTGGCCTCTGATGGGAAGCGCCTGGAGACGTGACAGGGTCCTCCCGCCCGCACTCTGAGAGAATACCGACATTTGAAACACAAGAAAACTGTGAATCTGTTCCTCGGCCAAGCGATAAGAAACAATACGAAAGGTTCCCGCTCTTTAACAGGCCCACGTGACAGTGTCACGGTCTATTCGTGACACAAAATGCGCCACATGCTTCTGTCTCGGAAACTCTGACGCCATGTATACTAGGAATTCTTTACGCGTGCTTAACTTCAATGCCGGCCATAGAGACCGTATAAATTACCAGAAGTGTCAGAATGGATTCAGATGCATTCCGTCACACACACGCACAGTAAACCATCGCTAATCCGAAGTCATCCGGAGGGGGGGAGGTGGCCATCCGGATTAGTGAAGAAAAAATCCTTGTTTACTTCATACAACTATTTTTATAGTATATTTAGGTGTTTAATTTCCAATTTTCAATAATCAAGCGACAATTTGTAACTATATGGAACACTTAATTTCCTTACAATTCTGTTTCCTCATATTAACATCATTAAGAACGCTAATCGGAAGTAACTGCGGGGGTGAGGTCATCCGGATTAAGCGATAAACCGGATTAGTGAAACAAAAGTAGCCCTACAAGACAGAAACAGAACAAAAAAATACAGAAAATTTAAAGACATAAATAGTGTTGACGAAAATAAATAAAAATAATCACTGTACAGCGTTTATTTAAAAACTATAAAAGACAATACATTTATTCGATAGAAGAAGGGGGTTTGAGTATGCCAAGGACCCTCGCAGCTATACCAGCGGTAGCGTAGCTACTGGCAGGGCCTCCCTTGCTGGACAGGTCAAAGGGTAGGCATCAGACGAAGAGAGACACCAAAAACTGACGTCGGAAGCAGCGTCATCAGCAGCGACTTGAAGCACAGAGCAAATGATGCTCGAGATGGTTCAAGTTCGTATAGCAACAGGCGTGACCAGAGTGGTTTGAACGGCTGTTGTACTGCGATGTGGAAAGCAAATGGAAAAACTACCACATTATCACTTTTCCTGGATAGTCTCTTTCCAAAAACAGAAGATCGCATTAAGTGGAGAAACTGTTTTGGAAGAGACTGTGGACCTGTCGTCTGACAGATTACTGATGATGATGATGAGAAGACTCAGAAGTTGTGCTTGTTTTGATCGTAATAATGAACGTTTGAAAAAACCGTCAAGTTTGGTCCGAACAGACAAGTGACTCAACTGCCTTCCTAAACGTCATGTGTCTTTTACGAATAAAGTATGTACTCAGCTGTGAACAACATTTTTCATATTTCGATCCGGATTAACTGTAACCGGATTAGCGAGTGTTGATGTCGACCTTCCTCTTGGGTGTTTATACCGTGGGAATTGGACAGCGGTGCCCAAGTTCTGGAGGAACTTGGGCACCTTAAAATAAGGGCATGTTCCTCCGAAACGTCGGAACTTGAGATACTCACACACACAAAACGTTCTTCGATCCGGATTAACTGCAACTGGATTAGCGAGGGTTTACTGTACATACAAATTAAATTTGCCTTAGGCAAATCTGATCTAAAAAAACAGTCCAGCTTTTACCTGTATTTCACGTCCCCTGGTGATCTTTTGTGAAGCCTGGAAAGTTGCGGACCATGTTAGGAAACCACAGTTCTAGTGTGAGTGAAAATATTCGTCACTCGTTCTGAATGGCACCCGAGAAAGGACTAATCCACGTTTAGCATATGAGCATACATGCTGAGACGCAGGGCTGCTACAGGAACAAGGAACAGCTATTCACGGACGCTTGCATAGCTTAATGGAGAACGATTTCCAGAAAAATATATCAAATTGAATAATGACTCTGTTTGCAACTGCAGCAACTTCATAAAGTCCCTCCAGTGTCGCTGAGGTAGTTCCGGAGTCAAGGATATGCGTGTCCTCGACTAAACCACCCTTCAGAACAAATGGCATGAAATTGTGATCATGTGATGCTTGGCCGCGCCTGCGCAGCCCAATCGAGTCGAAGTGTACGGCACAACGAAAGGAAGTCAACGAATTATGAAGTCCGGGCTACAAGAGCCCAACGCGGGTTTCCTGCAACCGTCATCGGCTTTTATCAGTTATATTTCTGGCGGAATGTTCTGGAAAATAAATCTTCCGATGGGCTTAGTTGGTATCCATTGAATCCTTAGGGAGAAAGAGGGACGAGACTAAATAACAACAGGGAGAGTAAGACGACTTCACCGAACTTCAAGAGAACAGAATTCCAAACAACGCGTCCAGTTGATGTGTCGCGGGAAACAAACAGCCTACCCCTGTCTGGCATCATGACGATGTCCTCGCAGCAGTTACATACTCACAAGAGCCAAAACAGATTATACAATACAGTTAGACTCCCGTTTAATTGGACCCTTCGGACAAATATTAAACAAATATTGTGACATGCAGAGCCGTTGCTACGCAACGACCATGAAACAAGCTACTATACAACAACCGTTGATAGGTAACGCACAAAGGCAACAATTCCGCGGCAATAATTGAACTGCAACGTCCGCTGTTGGAAGCCGCTACCAAGTAGCGACAGTGAAGACATAGCAAATTGAGAATACTTAAGTGTGTGTTCTAGTGAACTGTGAATTAGTAAAACTGTTATAATTACACGTACTTGTAGTCACGGATCTGTAAGAGTTCAATAAATCCGATCACCAATTCAAACCCCGTCTATAGTCAATAACCAGACAATATGTTGACAACTGTACATTAAGCAGTCCCAATAGTCATACAAACGCTAAGAACAACAAAACTATTAGCAAACAGGAAGATTAGCCCATGTCTGCGCAAGCGGAATGGATTCTGCATTAGAAGTTCACGTGACTAGCATTCAAGTATCGCTATGAAATGCAATTCCTGACTGATCTGTCATTTTCATACTTCAGGTGTGCAGTCTACGTTATATGCACCATAAACTTATTTAATGCGAATTAATTACACTTCAACGCTTCTGTTAATGGCATTAATGTTTAAAGGTACGGGGCACGTTCTACCAAGCTAAGGACACTGTACAGGCACTGCGAATATTCATAACTACCAAGTTTGGGCTCCATAGTTAAGTTCTCTGTCAATTCGAGCTCGTGTAACAGTTACACCTTTGTTTGTGTCGTGCGACGAAACTAACTCTGCTGTATCCGACGGCCCGGGCCGAAACTCCGCTCCGAGGATAGCTGTTAGCTCCACGAGTCGTGAGAACGAGGGACACCTCGCTGACCTGCTCACCTACCGCATGAGTACACAGCCCACGCTCGTCTAGCTAACTTCATGGAACAGGGCCCTTCTTGAGAGGCCGACAGTCGCTCAGCTATTCAAGAATTTCCCAGAATTTTATGGAACCCGAAGATTCATTACGTGTTCACAAGATCCCGCCACTGGTCCCTATCCTAAGCCAGAACAATCCAGCCCACACCATACAATCCTATCTCTCTATCATCCATGTTAATATTATGAAGCCACCTACGTCTGATTCTTCCTGGTAGTCTTTTTCCTTCTGGCTTTCCGATCAAAATACTATATCCATTACTCTTATCCCCACTCACATTACACGCCCTGACCATCTCACCCTCCTTGACGTGATCGTTCTATTTACACTGGGAGAGGAGTACAAGTTATGAAGCTCCTCATTATGCAGTTTTCTCCAACATTCTGTCACTTCATCTCTCTTCGGTCCAAATATTCTCCTCAGCACCCTGTTCTCAAACACCCTCTGTCTGTGCTCCTCTCTTAATGTCAGAGACAAATTTTCACACCGATACAGAACCACAGGCAAAATTATAGTTTTGTATATTCTAATTTTACGTTTTTAGACAGCAGACGAGAAGACAAAAGGCTCTGGACTGAATGGCAGCAAGCATTACCCCAGTTCAAACTTCCCTTAATTTCCTCCTGAATCAAGTTTTGATTTGTTACAGTCGTCTCCAAATATCTGAACTGTGTCACGTTTCCAAAATATATGTTACCTATCTTCATGTCATGATTTTGCTCTGCATTCTGGTGACGAGACAGTATACTTAGCTTTCTCTGTGTTTACTTCTAGACCAACTTCCTTACTTGCGTCAATTGAAGTTTCTGTTTTTCTTTACGGTATTTATATTATCTCCCAGTAGATTCATTTAATTAGCACAGAGCAGCAGCTGATGTGTCCCATAAAATTTAAGTCCCACCTGATTTTCCTGGACTCTTTCATATCTACAGGTCGTATCAGATGCCTCTGAATTGCTGAATATTCAGAGACAGCTTCGCCACTTCACATAAGGATCTCACCTGTTTAGGCGACTTCTAAAGGGTTCTTATGCACACAGAAACCCCCACTTTACAAGCCGCAACTTCACAAAATGGTTTACCGGTTCTATAAACTCTCTCTGTTATTTGAATATAAAGAGAGCGTTCTCTGCATTCACACCAGTTCCACTGCTGGTGCAGACTTCTGTTTCCCCATCAGCAACCCTGCTTTCCCAAGTGGTTTCTCTTTCTTGGCTCGTTTTCCAGATTTCGAGGGGAGTTTCGAACCGTTAACTCAACATACTGTGGCGTATAGACCCGTTGCTAAGCGGTGACTGTGTAAACAGTGACCGTTTCTGAGCAACGCATCGGTATACACTTAATGTTTCTAAGCAGCAGTTTCTTAACAATGCAACAGCTGAACTACAACAATGGAAACGGGGTGTTTCTACGTGGTCCGTGCCGAGATATTATAACCAAGGGACAAAGTCTGTTGATAGTCAGTTGATTCTGAACGGCAGGCTCTGAAGACAGGACCTGAGCGTGGAAGCTGAAGAATCTCCACTGCTTGAAGCCGTTGCCAGGGAACGACTGGTGAAGACATAACAGGCTGGGAAAAGGCTTATCGGGTGCCGTCGTGATTTGTGGAGATTAGTGGTGGCAATGTAATTATTTGTACGTATTTCCCAGCCGTGTGTATAATTGTTCAATAAATACATTCACCAATACAAGCCCCGTGACAATACAAACACGGTGACGTCTATTTTCACGATTTAGACGGGCTGAAACGTCCAGTTGATGAAGAACAGGAACTGCAATGTAACTGCGGCAGTCTCGGGCGCATGATGTTTAACCAACAGTTTACTGCCAAGTGGTAGAACTCGACTTCCGTCTTACACGTGCACAGGGCCACAGAGGCCGGAAGGGGCAATAAAATTAACTCCTATATGAAGTCTACTAACTGTACGCGTAGATTAAAAGGGCATGAAGAGCGAAATATCCCCTTTCATACACAAATAAATCTCTTGATTATAAAGTAAAGCTATCCCTGTACCAGGCCGTGAAGGCTCATAGGGTTGTGGGAGGTAGAGTATCCCACATTTTCTAAACCAGCCGTGTCAAACATGCGGTCCCCATAGCCACAGAGTGCGGCCCCTCAACTTTTAGAGCTAATTGATATTAAAATCAATATTAAAATTTTAGTAGAAATATTTGTTGTACAGACAATTTCCAACAGACCAGAAGACAAGAAGTCTCACTCAGACATAAATTAGCAGGCTGCAGAAAATTCAATGTTTTGATATTTCTAACATAATTTCTTGTGTAATCTCTCTTTTTACATATTGAAAAGCTGTTTGATACTTGTCAAAAATGGCATTCTCTTGCTTCTTAAAACTGTAAGATATGTGACTTTAGGTAATTATATTGAAATTATTCCTAAATAATAAATAGAATTGAATTTCCTTATATCAAAATCTAACGTGTATTTCTATTTTGAAGTGCGGCCCTGGACTATTATTTATAGGGCTGAGGTGGCCCTCTGCACAAGTTGAGTTTGACATGCCTGTGCTAGACGATCAGCTCACAGATGGCAGTGAGGTTGTCAGACTTACGATCAGCTCACAGATGGCAGTGAGGTTGTCAGACTTACTCGCCGGCCGCCCTTTACCCCTCAGGAAAATTCCTGGTACTCATTTCTGTTAAAGACTGAGTCGACCCACGGGCCATAGTGCGACTGGAAGGATTAGGTAAATAAAAAAAAAAAAATCCACCTCATCGGGATTCGATCCCGCGACCTTCCGGCCAATAGCATAGTGCCTCAAGCAACTGCGCTACCTCGTGCCCCCTCTTGGTTATAAGTAAAACTATTAATGTCACATGAACTGGCCTTATTTCACCGGAGCTCTTCTGGCGGCCAATGCAGAAGCTATGGGTTCCGTCCGCCATCTGCTGTGCCCATGGCGGCTTGATCCACACCAGACTGCTGAAGTGACCCGCATATGCGGCAGGCATCATCCAGTTCTCTATACTCAGCTGGCTGTAACAGAAGAAAGAGGCTCTGAAATGAATTAGCATCAAGCATTTTGATTTCATTTCCTCTTGAGTCACATTTGCAAAATACAGGTCAAATGGATAAAAAAATGGTAAAGCTGTCCCTGTAACAGGCTATTGAGGCTCATATGGTTGTGAGACGTAGAGGCTCCCACATTTTCTACACAATCGACTCATAGATGGCGGTGAGGTTGTCAGCCCTATGCACTGGACGCCCTTCTCCCCAGGAAAATTCCTGGTACTCATTTCTGTTAGAGCCTGAGTCAACCCCAGGGCCAAAGTGCGGCTGGAAGGGTTGGGTAAAGATAAAAAGGTAAATTTTTCCCTGTGCTTAACTAATTAAGCACTACGCCATGAAAGCGTATGGGGGACTAGATGTACAAATCCACATTTTCTTGAACTCGGCACTAGCTGGAGATGAGTGGTCAGCTTCAAGCCCCGGCCGCTTTACCTTCGGGGAAAGAGCCCCCGGATACCTATTGCATAGGAGGTTGGGTTTACCCCAGAGTCGGCCTGGATGACGAAGAGAAGTGAAAATTCTTGACCATACCGGGACTCGAACTCCGACCCGTCGGCCGTTCAGCCCGTAGCCAGTCGCTATATCGACTGAGCTATCCCGGTTCCTAACACAAAACAGTAATTTAATATAATTAATTAGTTTCCCAACATCTGAATACTGACACTCTAGACGACGGAGCGGTGATACCTAGTATGGCATACCTGCAGATGCAGGCAGTAGGATCTTCCGAAACGTCGGCAAACACCAACAAATGCGCAGTATCACATCCCACTAGATCCTCATCGTCGTGAAATCGACGTTCAGATTCGACTGTATTACACTTAAATAAATGGCATTCAGGAAAAATGTCGCGATTCTGTTTGCAGACATTTCGCAACGCCGAAGAAGACGCGTCAGAAATCCGTTACGAACAAACCAGTTATCGCTTGTCTGACGGTATCCTCTACCCACATGTCTAGCGGACGTGAGTGAGGGAAACCCAGAAGAATTTGTGACAGCTCACGCTGCCGAACATGCGAAGAGAACCCCAGAGCAGCGTCACCTTTGTCACGGGGTTGACGGAGTAATAAATACAACTTTTAGTTCAAGAGACATGAGCCGGAAATACGTGCTTCAGGCGGCAAGGAAGTGCAACCGCTACTTCGCACTCCGGAGTGGACACGGACGTTTCGGTGCATTTTACGAGCAAAAACAATTGTCCTCCGCTCCCACACACCGGGAACTGGACTGTCCCCGAAACTGTTTCAGTTACCTGCTGCGGAACATGCTGGACATACGAGGGAAGGTCAGTAAAGAGGTCACAAATGGAAATAAAACGTAAAATATCCTATTAAGATCTAAAAGTTTGTGACGATGGTACATTAGTACAAATATTGTGTTTCTGGACATTATATATCGTTCTGATTTTTATCTAAAAACATCGTCCTGTTTAAGTTTCAAAACAGAAAGTTTCGGAGACTGAAGACGGAGACAGAATCCAGTCTCCGAAGCGTTGTGTTCAGATAAAGACAGGATGGTGGAAAGTGTCCAGGAACATGAAGCATGCGACATTCGAACCTAGAAAGAAAAACATGTATTTCTCGACATATCCTCCACCAACATTGTTACACTTGTCCCAACGCTTTACCACTGGGTCGAGACCCGCAGCATAGAAGTCTTTTGACTGTTGCCTCAGCCACTTCGGCAACTCCGCTTCAACCTCTTCATCATCACCAAAACGTTTGCCACCCAGGTGTGAACCGCTTTACGCGACAAACACTTCCCACCGTACACAGGAAGCACATCTTTGTGAATATCCTTTGAACTGAGTCCTTTTGTCCAGAGAAAAACGCATAACAGGACGCTGATCTTCGGTAGTATAATCCTCGAGCATGATCACCATTTTGACTATTGAAACCAGCCTCTGGATATGCGCATGCGCGTCTGATACCTAGACCTTTTCTATTTTGAAAAAATAAATATAAAAAAAAGGCCTGTGGAATGCCCATCCGGCCTTCTGTAGCACATTCTTATAAATATCTTGTTCTATCATAGCGGTCACCCTCCGATTTTTGAATATCTTCCTTAGCTTAACTCTAAGAGTATACTATTTTTTTTTTTCCTGTGGCGCTACAGCCCCAATTTCGGTCTAGGCCTACCTCCATGAAACTCTCCGTTTCACTTCGGTTTACTAGATCTTACACATTCGGTAGGACTCCTTGGGCGAGTGATCAGCTCGTCGCAAGGCCTCTACCTGTACACAAGCAGAGAAAAACGCACACAAACATCCATGCCCTGAGTGGGATTCGAACCCACGATCCCGGCTTCCGAGCGAGCGAAGACAGTGCACGCCTTAGACCGCTCGGGTACCGTGACCGGCAAGAGTATACTATTAATATTATCTAAATTTGACTTGGTTCATCCTGGCCCGTGACACTAGTAATTGTATAAGGTTATTAACGCCGTCAAGTTCGATTGTTCAATTACACTGGACGGCGTTAATAATCTTTTATATTGTGTATATTTACTTATTCTAAAAATAAATTTCGGAATTTTGTTTTATGAAGCAACAGACGCCTTGAAAATATAATTTTTCTTCTAGCCTTAAGAGTTTGTAACTGACTGTGGGTATTCTTTTCCGCTGTTCCCAGACAAAATGTCAATCACTGTTGTCCTTTGGTCCTCATAGAGTTTACAGTCCCAGAAGATACGTGCCTCCGTTTGCATCTGGACTGTGCTGCTACCTAGTGACACATATAGGAAACTACGTCCATTACAGATGGTTCACTTCCATTTGCGACCTATTTACTGACTCTCCCTCGCACTTTCAGCCGCAAGCTAAGAGTCTCTGAACGCTTCCTAAGTGGCTGATTCACCTGCGATGTACGTCACAGTACTGACCTAGCAATGGACGGAAAGATGACTGCTCGGGAATTGGTACGGAAGCCGCTGCTGTAGGCCCACTCAACCAGAAGCACGCACTTCCACAACACAACAAACTGCAACGTAAGGTTCGGGTTTTAAATTATAGTCCCGTGAAATTGCAAGCAACAAGCACCTCACGAAGCGGACTGGCGTAACTGCAGGGCTCTGAACTTGTGTTCGACTCTCGGTCGGGTCACCGGATATCCTGCCTGAGTTAGGTCACG